ACAATTCAATACTAAAAAATCCATAAACTCTTAAATCAACTTTAAACACATTGAATCACATATTGAAAACACTGAAGGCAATACTCCCCATACCTTAATTGCCGACTCTAAGCCTTTCTCTTTGATTCTTGGAAACCTCGCGAAGTTTTTGCCTCAATCCTCTTCCTCAGAGCTCTGACCTCTATTTCTTCTCTTTTCACGGTCTAATAAGAATGAATCATAATTCCCTTAAAATTCCTTTTTGTTAAACCTAACTTTGGGCCTTAAAATTGGGCTTTCCAACTTTACCCTCACTAACTCATCCTCAAATGTCCACTTTTCCCTTAATTCACTTATATTTAAATAAATAACCCAAAATCCATAATTCTCAATACTTCATACCAACCACCATAAATCACCAAAAATACGAATATTCCTATTTAAATAAATATGAGGTGTCTCTCTCATTTGTTTGGATGAGTCTTTGACCTTTAGGTTAATTTTTGACCCAATGTGAATATGTTGGAAGTTATTAGATAGTTAAGTACATAATCAACAGATTATGTGTTATACAACTCATCGTAATATTCATTGTAAATGATAATTAGTAATTAGTTATCTTCTACCATATTTAGAATTAACATTTATAAGGAGAATAATTACTTTAATTCTCAGGCCAGATTTAGGATTATTGATGTGTCCCTTGTATTCTATAAATACTTTTCATGGGTTACTTACTAATATATCAAAGGAATACATATTTGTTGTTTCTTTATGGTATCAATTGCTGGAAGAATTCCTTAGTTTTTTTTCATCTCACATAATGTCTGATCAGTTGTCTGATACCGAGTCCCAGCATTCGCCCAAACATTCTTCACCTAAACTTGAAATACCTCAATCTGTTAAGATTTACCATGAAAACCACCCTTTTCAGATCACAACATTTCGACTGAATGGTCCTAACTATTTTCGATGGTCATAGTCTGTCCGTTTGTATCAGGGGAAGAGGAAAAATTGGCTACATCACTAGAGAAAAGAAACAACCAGACAAGGAAGGCGCAGACTATGATAGTTGGGATGCTGAAAAATTCCATGGTCATGACATGGTTAGTTAATTCCATGACTGAAGAGATAGGTGCAAACTATTTTTGTTATGCTACTGCAAAAGATATTTGGGAAAGTGTCTCTCAGATGTATTCAAATTTGGACAACCAATCCCAAATTTATGAATAAACTCTCTAACATAGAGAAATTCGTCAAGCTGAAGATTCTGTTACCAAATACTTCAATTGTCTCAAGCGTATTTGGCAAGATCTGGATCTACTCAATGTATACGAGTGAAAGTCACTCGAGGACTGCAAGCAGTACAATAAAATGATGGATGTTCGTCATGTCTCAAAGTTTCTTACAGGTCTAAATATTGAGTTGTAAACTAAATGGTTCTTGTCACGACCACGAGCCTTAATTTTACTTGGCAGGAATCCTATCCTTCCAATTGGTGAGGTATTTGCTGAAGTGCGTCACAAAGAGAGTCGCAGGAAGGTGATGCTTGGAAAAAAAATTGTCATTGTCCCTCCACCAGTCGAAGGATCTATTGGATGTTCCTCAAGTCAATCGCAAACCTTTCCCTAATCCATGAGGTGATGACAAGAACCATTTAGTTTGCAACTACTGTGGTCAAAATCATCACACTCGGCAAAACTGTTTCGAACTACATGGTATGCCAAATAATAGAAAGGCTAGCAGGTTTTGTGACCGCCCTATGTCTACAACTAATGAGGCTGACTCGTCTCCATTTACTAAGGAGCAAATGAATCACCTTTTTAAACTTCTAAAGTTCAATTTATCACCTAATGTTCCTATTGGAACTGTGGCACAAACATGTAAGAATTCTTGGGTATTATCTGTCCAAAACCACTCCAACCCTTGGATAATAGATTCAGGGGCATCTAAACATATGACCAATTGCTCTCATTTATTCAGTTCCTATTTCCCTTTTTCTAGGTTTGAAAAAGTAAGGATTGCTGATGGTAGTTGTTCTAGTATTGCAGGCAAAGGCAGCATAAAAATTTTAGAGCAAATTACTTTGAAATTTGTTTTACACGTTCCTAAGTTTGCTTGAAATCTTCTATTTGTTCATAAATTCTCTAAGGACACTAATTGTTTTGTCATTTTTCGTTCTTCCACTTGTGTTTTTCAGGACCAGAACTCGGGGAAGATGATTGGAACTGCTATACAGATGAATGGATTGTACTACTTTGATGAAACTCCCCTTGAAAATGCAATGTTTTTTTGGTTTAAACAGTGCAAGTTTACCTCCCGTTTCAGATCAAGTTATGTTATGGCATAAAAGATTATGTCATCCTAGTTTCCCTTATCTTAAGTATTTATTTCCAAAATATGTCAAAGAAATAAATTTCTCACAATTTCATTGTGAAACATGTCACTTAGCTAAAGATCATCGTGTGTTTTTTACTTCAAAAGTTTATTATGCTTCATAAATTTTTTATTTAATCCATAGTGATGTTTGTGGTCCTTCAAAAATTAAAACCACGTCTGAAAAAATGGTTTGTGACATTTATTGATGACCATACACGTGTGTATTGGGTTTATCTCTTAGAAAAAAATCTGAAGTGGAACAAAGGTTTAAAGATTTTTTTTTCAAATTATTGAAAACCAATTTCAAAATAAGATTGACATTCTAAGATCTGACAATGGCGCTGAATATTTCAACAAATATCTAAGTACGTTTCTAGTAGCTAAGGGGATAATTCATGAACCCACTTGTTGTGATACTCCACAACAAAATGGTATTGCTGAAAGAAAAAATAGACATATCCCCGAAGTTACTAGAGCTATCATATTTTCTATGAATGTACCTATATATCTTTAGGGAAATGCCTTATTAACTGCTTGTTACCTCATCAATAGAATTATATCTCGTGTTTTAAAATATGAGACTCCTATGCAAGTTTTACAAAATTATTTTCCCACATCTCACATCATTGCGGATCTTCCTCTTAAAACTTTTGGTTGTCTTTGTTATGTCTACATCTCAAATATTTTTCGTTCCAAATTGGATCCTAATGCTAAAAAATGTGTTTTTCTTGGCTACGCTTCAAATAAAAGGGTTACAAATGTTTTAACCCAATAACAAATAATTTTTTTGAAAGTATGGGTGTCAACTTTGTTTAAAATCAACTTTTTTTTAATAAAAATTCTCTTCAGATGGAGAATCGTGATGTTGATAAAGAAGATAATTGTTGGAAAACTTTACCTGAACTGGATGATATTGGGACTACAAATCATCTAGATACAATGGTAATCTTGAATTGTCGGATAATGTAATTTCTATTACATTCAAATAAAGATTGCAACTATTTTCTTCATTGGATCCAATTTTTGCTGTCAAGAATTGGAAGAGAATTTAGAATGTCATTGTTATCATTCATCTTTGCAGCAAACACAATTAACAATCCACGATCCCGAAAACACGATCATCGACGTGTGATTCATGAAAATACGATCAAAAAACTCACCGGAGCTCTAAATACTAATTTGTTTGCGCGTGAGACACTTTTAGTGAATAGAAAAAAAAGAATAAAAAATTAAAATTATTATTATTGAATATTAATGAAACTGACTATTAAATAAAAAATTCTAACTGACTATGAAAACTGACTTTTTGTGCGTGAGACACTTTTAGTGAATATTAATGAAAATGAAAATGAAAATGAAAATTATTATTATTGAATATTAATGACTTGACTATTAAATAACAAATTCTAACCTTACTTAATTAAGGTGGCCTTGTACTACTACTTGAATCAAGTCAAATTCAAGAGTTTATTATCTCATGAATGGGTGGATTGGAAATCAAATTCAGGTATATGCTTTTTTTACAAGTTTTTATCCTAGTTTTGCTAATGAGCTTTTCTTATAATATGGGTTGAGTATACTCCTCTTTAATCCAGTTTTCTTTCTTATAAAAAAATATTAGCTTAAAATAAAATTAAGTTTTCAAATACTAAATTATAGTACACCAAGCAGGAAAAAATTAGTGCAAGATTTAACCATTATGACAATAGCTAACGACGTATAAGGAGAAAATATTACATTCATAGTATTTTGTTAGTAATTAACACTAATAAAGAACTCAAATTTGCATTCTTTATACTGATTTCAAACACAAAATTAATACAAATTAAAAGATGAAGGAATGTGACTCAAAAGAAAAGCTCCTAGATGCATGCATGCATGAAAATCTGAATTCATAGACTCAAAACAAAATTAATTAGAAATGATATAAGTAAAATATATTCATCTAAAATATATTTACTAAAATTGAATTTTTCATTTTTTTTGGGTATAATCAACATATGGGTAATTGAAAAACTCAATTAAAGCAACCGCTACTCAATTAACTAATTTCATTTAAATTTAATTTATCATTATAATTAACAGGACTAATTATTTTTTAAAAATATAAAAAAATCAATTTATTATTATAATCAACATTACTAATTCATAGATAATTCATGTGCTATAACGATTAGTAATGATATATTAAGTTGAATGGGGAGTTTTCAATTTTTCTACATTCGTAGAAAATTAGCAGGAACGTTAAGATAGGTAATGATATCATTAATGAAGTAGAGTTTTTTAGGGTTCATACTCTATTTTTTTGCAGGGTATACGGAAAAACACATTATGAAAAAAAAATTGGAATTATCAATCAAATGGAAATTTAAGTGAAAATTAAAGGATGGAACGTAAGTGTTTAATGAGCAAACAAATAAAAACTGAGTAGAAATTAAAGAACAAAAACTTTACTTCATAAAAAATACTCATGCAGCGGATTCAAAACAAAAATAATTATAAAAGGAATACATTCATTAAAACATTAAAACAAACAATTATTTTTTTTTTGTATGTCAAATATTAGCAAAACTTAAAAAAAAAAAAAAAAGAATAATAACATTCTAGATCATCCGCATAACATGAAACGAAATGACTAACGGTTAAAGATTAAAAGGTCTGGTAGAATCAAGTTGCTTGCAGAGTGCGAGATAGGTTAAATAAAGAACTATATCCTTTGTGTCGGTTCGATGATTGTTTGTGTGCTTGCAGCAATATTTCAATTGGGCAAGGTTGCAACAGCCAAGCAATTGACCTAGCAACAGAAACAACCAATTGATATTCTTTTTCTTCTTAACGATGATTGGTTTTACACAGTTTTCTTGATTACAATGCACACAGTCCGGCAACGTTGGATTCATCCATACATTTGGTGGCGCCCTATCGTTCATGAATTGTCTGTTTTCGAGAATGTATGTCCAGAGTTTAGGAAACTTCTTTGTCACGTCAAATGACATTTCAAATATTGTATCGCATCTCTTGCATTGGACATCTCCAATGATATTAACTATTCCATTATGGCGAAGATAATGCAAACTGTGAAGCTTTGCTCTTCGATTAGTAGCCCATGGAAAAGGTATAGGGATGGTTTCGCTTTTTTCACTTCGTGGGTTAAGACGAGCACGAACGCGGGGAGGTTGATGAGGTGGAGAAGGAGGAGGAGGATGTGATGGCCCAGGAGAAAAATACAAGATTGGTCGTTGAGGAGGTGGAATTAGCGGTTGAGGTGGTGGAATTGGATGAGAAAATATGGGCTGAAAATGAAACGGTCTTAGTTGAGGAACAAGACGTTGAACCGTTGGTTGAGGTGATGGAATTTGATTGGAAAACATCCTTTGAAATGGTGTAAATTTTGGTATAGGGTCTTATACTGATGGTTGAGGTTGAGGTGGGAGATTTGGTTCAGAAAACATACGCTGAAAAGGTGTTAATTCTTGTGACATACTAGTAGGTACATGCGGTGGGTCATTTATGGAAGTTTGAGGTTGAGGTGGTGAACTTGTTTCAGAAAATTCTTAATCATCACGTTGTTCTGAGTTGCTCATGATGAGTTGATAGAATAATAGTGAGAAAATTGAGAAGAGATTAAAAGAGAGAGTACTATGTATAAAAGAGTGAAAGAATAATGAGAATGCGACAAGAAATATTGTGAGAGAAATACATGTTTCTTTTTTGTTTAAAATAGTGAGTGAATGAATTTGAAATTTAAACTTGAAGATTTTTTTCCGAACATAGTAATGCATATAATAAATTAGTTTGAAGTTTCCAAATTCATTTAACCAAATACTAAATTCAGTCAATACAAATTGTATTGGTGATATATGTGCGAGTACATTGATGAGTTTTAAAATTATTTTTATATTAATGCATCGAATACTATATTTATTTGTCATTTTCAAGAGGTTATTTCATTAGTGGATAATAAAGCTTTTATAACAATTTTGAATAATATATTTATCTAGATGTCTTTTTTTTTAGTAATTTTTGAACCCATTATTCTTAATATATATATATATATATATATATATATATATATATATATATATATATATATATATATATATATATATATATATATATATATATATATATATATATATATATATATATATATATATATATATATATATATATATATATATATATATATATATATATATATATATATATATATATATATATATATATATGGGTTATCTAAAACATGTGTTGATAAATACAATAACATTTATTATTTTTACTGTAATTTTAAAAAAATTGAAATAAATATTTTGATTATAAAAATAATTCAATTTATTATAATGTTTTATAAAATTCCCAGGAACCAAAATAATTCTATTTTGTATAATGAATCGTTCTAATAAAAATGGTTTGTCAAACTTATGCCGAATTTGGTCATTGTACTTGGTAGTAAGGTTAATTATATAAGTATTTAATTTGGTGAATTTTTATTTACTCAATTTAAAAAGCTAGTAAAATTATCCATAGTGTAAAATATTTTAAAAATAATACAAAAGTTATATTATTTAATAAATAATTAAACATATTAAAAATAAATGGTATCATGTTATTGGGTGAAAATAAACTATCAATTTTTTGTGTGATGGATAGATAAGTTCTTTCTTTAATTTTCTTTAATTTTTTGTGTGAAAATAAACTATCAGTTTAGTTTTACATATATAAATGTTGAGGAAATGTAACCAAAATGTAAGTAATAAAATATATTATTTTTAATAAATAAACTTAACAAAAAATCTAAAATATAAGTTAAAATTGTTGGTACACGAGATGAAGAAGATGAAGATGGAAGAAGAGAGAGAAAATTGAAATAACAAACTTTCACTATTCTTTCAAAACGGTTACAATAAATTGTTACACACACTACACTATTGACAACTACACTTGTTTGTATACACAAACAATAATGCCACGTAAATAATGTTAACTTACATCAATTAGGTTAAGCTTAACAAAACTAATACTACTACTAAATATGAATTACTTCTAACACTATCCCTTAATTCATATTTAACTAATCAAAACTAATAACATCAATTTCATCCCTCAAGTGGAGAAATTGATCAGTCTTGATTGCTTTCGTCAAAACATCTGTTAGTTGCTTCTGGGTGCTATAGTGCATAACTTCTAACACTTCATTTTGAACCTAACTTCTCAGAAATTCATACTTAGTCTCAATATGCTTGCTTCTCCCATGCAGCACTGGGTTCTTGGCAAGATTGATTGCAAACTTGTTATCAATCATAAGCTTCAAAGGCTTGTTTACCTTGATCTTCAGATCCTGCAGTAAATTTAGAAGTCAAACTGATTGACATGTAGCCATAACACCTGCAATGTATTCAACTTCACAGATTGACAAAGCAACAACTAATTGTTTATTGAAACACTAAGAAATATGACCTCGCAGATACTTAAAAAAAATGACAATAAGTAATTTTTCTGTCAACTCTGTCTCCACACCAATTAGAGTCTAAGTAATAAATCAGCTCTGAATTATCATTTTCACCAGAAGAGAACAAAACTCCATACTTCAAAGTCCCTTTGATATACCTCAGAATCCTGCCAGCAGCTTGGTAATGAGACCACTTCGGTTTACTCATGAACCTACTAACTATTCCAACTGTATAACAAATATTAGGTCTGATACTACACAAATACCTCAGAGAGCCAAGAAGCTATTTGAAAGTTGTAGCATTTACATCAGAATCCAACTTGTGATTCGTTTCAGCAGGTGTGACAACAACCTTACAATTCAGCAGCTCAAATTTCTTCAGAAGCTCAAGTTCATACTCCAGCTGATGCAAAATGATATCCTTCTCAGATTACATAATCTCCATCCCTAGAAAATATGTCATATTTCCTAGAGCATTCATCTCAAACTCATTCATTAGCACCTTCTTTAACTTAGCTATCTCATGTTCACAACTCCCTGTTAGCAACATGTTATCAACATAGAGACACACAAGAATCATTGTTTTCAGAATTATGCTGAACATAAACCTTATACTCCATCTCACACTTTCTAAATCCTTAAATCTTGAACAATGAATCAATTTTCAGATTTCAAGTTCTAGGAGCTTATTTCAGTCCATACAACGCTCTATGTAACTTGTACGTCATCCCTTTCTGATTATTTTTCATAAATCCAGAAGGTTATGAAACGTATACCTCTTCTTGCAATGGACCGTTTAGAAATGTAGATTTCACATCCATATGTTTCAGAAGCCAATTCTTGTTAGCAATTATCGCAATCACCAGTCTGATTGTCTCATATCTCTCTACAAGAGCAAACACCTCAAAGTAATCTAACCCAGGTTTTTGTAGAAAACCTCTTACCACTAACCTTGTTTTGTGTTTACCAATTGACCCATCTGGATTTAGTTTCACCTTGAAAACCTATCTGAAGCTAATAGCTTTATTGTTCTTTGGAAGTTTAGTCAACTTCCAAGTCTTGTTAATTTCTATAGCCTCAAGTTCTTCTTTCATGGCCTTTAGCCACATTTTCTTCTTAAGTGTTGCTTTTGTACTCACTGTTTGAGAGTCTACTAACATGGCACATTGAACGGCTTCCCCTTCAGAGTCTATTTCAGTATCTTGAAACATTTCAAACTCTGCAAATCAACTTGGTATTACTCTGATTATTTGTGGCCTCTGAACTTGTTCAGAATCTTTTTTGGATAGTGGAAAATATCAGATGTTGAAACCCCAGAAGTACCACCTTTAGATGCATGACCACCTTCAAAGTCTAGAATATTCCCAGAGTTTAGATCTCCACCAGATTCTGAATCACCATCAAAATATGGATCAAATCAAATTCACCTCCAGTGTCAGACTCGCCTTCAGACTCTAACTCACCTTTAGAGTCTTCTTCAACTTTAGAGTCATCTTCAGACTTTGACTCATCTATAGAGGCTGAGTCTCCTTCAGATTCAAAAATACCTTCAAAAGTTAACTCTGCACTAGAGTTGGATTGAGACTTGTTCCAATCCCACGCTTCTGACTCTTTCATAACTACATCTTTTCTGAATTCAACCTTGTTAGTGACAGTACAGTGGAGCTTATAAGCACATGTACTATGGTATGCTACAAGCAACATAAATCTGTTTTTGTCATTCAACTTCCTTCTTTTAGCATCTGAAACATGTTTGTAACAAACAGAACTAAATACCTTCAGATGGCTCACACTTTGCTTGTCTTCAGTCCACTTCTCTAAAAGAAAATTTTCCTTCAGCTTCTTGGTTGGACACCTGTTGAGCACATATGTCGCAATGACAATAGCTTCTCCTTCAGCATGCTCCTTGTCATATAAAGCAAAGTTTGGTTTCTTCTTTCAGCAATACCATTGTGTTAAAGAGTGTATAGCAGTCACCTCATGCTCAATTCCACTATCCTCAGAAAATGTTTTGAACTCTATAGAGTTATACTCACCTCCACCATTAGTTTTGAGAGTCTTCAAAGTATAACCACTATGATTCTCAGCCTTGATTCTGAATTTCTTAAATTCAGCAAACACCTCATTTTTGAACTTTATTAGGGATACCCACATCATCCTTGTGAACTGATCCACAAATGACAGAAAGTATTTATTCCCTCCAAGTGAAGGTACTGGAAATGGTCCACACATATCAGAATGCACCACACCTAAAACATGCTTTGCTCTTCGAGGCATTTTAGATGCAAATAGCATTCTTGGTTGCTTCCCTCTTATACACACATTGCATGACTTCTATGGCTTCTTAATTGTAGGAATTTCATGTACTAACTTCTTTGAGTTCAGATGCCTTAAGCTTTTGTAGTTCAAATGACCAAATATTTTGTGTCATAGCTGATTTTCCTTCACAACACTTGTTGCACCAAGGCATTTTGAGTATACAGTTTTAACATTCACTTTGAATTTTCTATTTCTTTCCTATTGTGACTTTATAATCAGCTTTTGATTATAGTCATGCAACTTTAAAAAATTGTCATTCATGGTAACTAAAAATCATTTCTCAATTGATTTACCTACACTCATCAGATTGCTTTTCATGCTAGGAACATACCACACATTCTGAACCAATGCAGTTTTATCATTATTCATAACTACTATTTTTTCATTCCTTCGGTATTCAGATACTTATCATCAACACATATAATCTTGGTTCTCTTACCATAGTCAAACTCAACCAACCATTTCTTATTTCCAGTAAGGTGATTTGAACAACTCGTGTCCATGTACCACGAGTCTTCCAAAAAGGAACTATCAGACTCAAAAGCCATCAATAACACAGGTTCATCATCAAAATATTCTCTAGGTATGTTTGTCTTTTCTGAC